ATCCCAGTGCCAGAGCACAATCTCGGGGAGCAGGACCCCGAGGGCCTTTGGCTGGGTCTCCCAGGTATTCATTCACAGCAACTGTATTCCAGAAGGTTCTCTGGAGTGTGGACACCTCTCTTCTGAGCAGTCCTGTTACTTTCACTTCCCAGCATTAGGGGCACCCATCAGTTCCACATGTGCACACATGTACACACAATGCGCACACACGTAAAGGAAGGATACTTACTTCTTCACGTCCCGGCTCCCAGCCCAGTAGCCCCCAAGGGCAACAGTGCCGACGGCCATGATGAAGATGATGACCATGTTGTAGTCCAGCATGGGCTCGTGCGGGGCATACAACGCTGCCCTCACCGATCGGCCAAAATTCTGCCTCGGAGAACACATCAGAATTCAAGGCCAAGGCCCCCTGCCCTATGCCTTCATCCACCAATCCTGACCCCAAAGCAGTCAGCTCTGACGTAACAGGCTGTGCATGAAGACAGGCCAGCAGCCCTGCGTGCGAGAACACAGCCCTGCGCCGAGATGTGCGTGTGCTTGCATGAGGGTGCACATCACCTGGGTAACATCGGGCGGCCCATGGGGGACCCACGGGGAGAGGCGTGAGGCCTGCGCTTACTGTGAACTTCTGGAAGTTTCACAAAGACTGGAGATTCTTGTTTACTTATACAATGATGCTCACCCTGCTCCAGCCCCAGCTCCCCAAATCAAAGATGAACATGGGCCTCAGGTCAGACAGGCCTGGGCCAGGAGTGTGCAAGCAGCAGAGGGAGCGATGCTCATTCTCCAGGTATGGGGAGCGCCAGGCTGGCCAAGCCCGGAGCCTGCATTACTCTAACCAGCTGCACAGGGCACTTCAGGGCCATGGTCCCCATTCCTGGCATTCGGTGGCACTGGAGGCCTACCCTCACGATGTGGCTGACTCATAGTGGGCAAGACCCACCCCTGGCCAGCCCCAGACAGGATGGCCTTGCCACAGGCCCTGCCCACCACCTACTCAGGCCCGGGCCCAACACACTTCAGGGGGAGGGACCCCCTACCTTAAAAATGTCCAGCATGTCTTTGTAGCTGAGCAGGGCCACGGGACTGCCGATCTCCTCATACTGCGTCTTGTTGCCTCCTGGAGGGACCTGGGAGTCCAGAGGAGGCAGATCTGCTGGCTGACCAAGGCCCACCCAGGATGGCGCAGACAGCCGACCCCTGCTGATGGCATGGCCCACAAAGCTAGCTAGCCCTCCCTAAGGAAGGGGAAGATTCCCTCGTGTGTGCTGGGTCATCAGGTGCCAGCACAGGAGGGGGACACACCAGGAGGGAGGCCCACAGGCTCGGCACCCCCCACGACGGGAGGAAACCTAGCCCTTCACTCAAACCTTGGGGTCAGGAGCCAGTCCATCTGGCTGGGGGCCTGGAGGAGAGGCCGGCAGGTGGACCCATGCCACCCACTCCTTAGAAGGCACCCCCAGAGCTCTGCCTTGAGGTCCTGTATCCCCCAACCCACAGGACTGCTCTGGGATAAGCCCCCTCCAAGATGAGGGTCCAAAGGCCTGAGTCCACAGCCGGTCAGCAAACCAGACTTCTCTCTCCTGGCTGTGGCCGCCCGTTCCTGGCCAGCACCCATGCTCACTTTGGTTGGGGCCCAGGGGCTCCTCCCGGCTTCCCTTAGGGCACCTCCCGGCTTCCGGGGCGGTGGGGTAGAGTGATGCCCTGGGTAGGTCCTATTGTCCAGAAGGGCGCCCAAGCAGCTGTACCAGGGTCTCCTTGCTGACGACGAGCAGCCCGTGCGCCCCGCTGCCCTGGGCCAGCCTCACTTTGTCGTAGAAGGTGCAGTTCCCCCGAGTCACCAGTGGAATCTGGTTGCTAAAGCCTTTGGCAGGGAGGTCGGATGCAGAGCAGAGCATGGAAGTCGTCCAGTCCCTCAGCTGCAAGAGAGACTGAGGGAAGGCAGCGCTCATAGGAGCTGTTCTAGAAGAGTCAGGGCGGGCCTCATGGGAATCAAGGCATCAGAGAAACCTGCCCAGCTGTGCTGAGCCTTCAGCATCCAGATCACCACAGTGAGCGCCATCCTGATGCCCCCTCCCTTGGGTCCCACTGGACTTCAGGCCCTTGCACCAAGGAAGGATGAGAGGTGGAGGGTGGGCAGGGCCTGCAGACACACATACCAAACGCACGGCAGACAGGAGGGACAGGTGGTGTGCGCTCCGAGCAAACCCCTCAGAAATCCTCCCTGCATCCCCATACCCATTATGAATGGACTACAAGGGGCAGGAGCGTCGGCCTCTGTGGTGAGAACTCACCCACAAGAGCACCCTCCGGGCCTCCGAGGGGAGGAAGGAGGGCCAGGCCAGGGAGAGGGTCTCCTACAAGAAGAGCAGAGCTCTCGCCCCACCCTCTGCTATCTCTCCTCTCAGGAGCCCGCTGGCAGACAGCCCCCATCCAACACACGAAAGCCTGGCTGGTGTCTCCACCAGAGGCCATGTCTACAGAGCACTCCGAACAGATGTCTTTCATCCACGACCAAGGAAACTAAGGCCCGGAGAGGTTAACGGGCCCCGTTAGGGCTGCCCAGAGGCCTCTCAAGCGTGACCAGACCCCACCCCAGCTCCCAGCTGAGGTCCTTCGGAGCCCTTTCCCCCAGCTGGCTCTCTGCAAGGGACAGTCTCTCTAAGGGCCCCTCTGGACCTGGGCAGAGGGGGGGAGGGATGACAGCAAGACAGACAAGATCCCAAGCTGAAAGGGGTGCTCAGAGCCACCGTGCCAGGAGGGCCACCAGTCCAATACTCACCGCCTTGCTGAGGTCGTGTGGCAGGTGGGCCCACTGTGGGTTGTAGAGGATGCAGTAATCCTTGCCTTTCGGGCCCCCCGTCTCGGAGACCACGTGTACCATGCCATACTCACAGGCCACCTGGAGCAATGGGGCAGGGGGCAAAGAGCTCAGGGTGGGGCCGACCATCCATGACATGGGGTCCAAGTTAAAGGACACCAGTGAAGGCTGGGATGGTTTCCTCCCTCAGACAGGACAGAGAGGACACACACACAAGTATCTCACGATGGAGAAAATGAGGGAGGGCCTCAAGGACAAGTCTCCCTAGGGAGACCTGGGTGTGACCTCAGGCCTGTCAGCACCCAGCCAGGGGCATGTACCACACCCACAGGCCCCGGCCCCTCCTGGCCCCTGGGCTCTGTGGAGCTGAAAGGGCCAAGCTCTGCACGCTTTGGGCTCCTAGGCCTGCCCTTCTGTAGCTCTCGCTCCCCTTGGGCTATAGGCACCTCCAGACAGAGCCGGGGACTGCACCCCTGGGCTCCCCGGAGTCTGCCACAGAGACAAGCAGGTGGCAGCTGCTCCCAATAAAGGACACAGGATGGGGACGGTCATCACCTGGCACAGCGAACCCACCCCGAGGATGCGGCTTTGCCAAGGTGAGGGAGGGGGAGGGGGCTCTGATTTGGCCAAGGATCCTGACAGACTGTGTGCTCCACCAGGCGGAGCACCAGGTCGCAGGCAGCTGGGCCCTCTGCGAAAGCACAACCAGGCCACTCCGAGAGCTTCCTACCCTGGCCCTGGTCACCTGGCAGTGGGGGCAGCATGGAGGACAGCCCAGGGTGCCCCAACCTTGAAGTCTGAAGGCGGACACCAGGCGCTGGGTGCAAGTCCCACTTTCCACAGTCCCCAACTGCCACTGTTCAGTCAGCCCACCAGCTCTGGCACTTCCATGTGTCACCTGAGTGAGGCGCTGACTGCCACAGCAATGCTTACATGGTGCCAAGCTCCAAAGAAGCTGTGTTCGGGGCCACCCAGCTTTCTGGGAGGGCAGGGCAAGGAGGTGGACGGCCTGAGGCCCACCCAAGGTCTCAGAGCACTTCACTCAGGCAGCACCCTGCCATCCCTGCCTCTGTTCCCGGGGAAACCCCACACACCTCACGTCACCTCGTTCCCTTCACCAAAGGCAGACTTAGGAGGCCCCTCTTCCAGGTTCTCCCCACCAGACTGCCCCCCAAGGGTGCCCTTCATCCTGGCCCTAAATACTGTACCTGGTATATGCCCCCTCCAATGCTCAGAGCCCCTGGCACCTCCTCACCCTGGGACACGTGGGGAGCAGTAGAGTCCCTCAACCTCCAGACAGAGCCAGAGAATGCACCCCTGGTTTCCCCAGAGTCTGCCACAGAGACAAACAGCCCACCTTCTGTGTTTGCAAACAAAGTTTTATTGGAACACGGCCACCCTATGCCAGTATGCAGGGCCTCTGGCTGTTCTTGGCTGCCACTGCTGGGTTGGGCAAGTGCTTGCAAAGCTGACAAGATGCCCTATCTGGCCCTTTCGGGGAAGTTTGCTGAACCTTGATCCATGGGAGCCAGGCTGATGATGAAAACTGTCATTTATGTAAAATGGAAAGTGAACAGAAACTGGATCTTTTTTTTAAAGTCATTTAAGCCCGGCCAGTGTGAGCGCTAACCTATGAACCAGGAGGTCACGGTTCAATTCCTGGTCAGGGTACCTGCCTGGATTGTGGGCTCGATCCCCAGTGGGGGGTGTGCAGGAGGTAGCCGATCAACGATCCCCCACAAGCACACTTCATGGACTTTCCTCCCCACAACCTGTACAACTAAGCCTGTGCTTGTTTCAAATGCCACAAAGATCACGGTTTCACTGTGATGAGTTCCCTCATCCTCTTGAGTTAAAGGAACCGGGAGAAGTTCTTCAAAAGGGCCCAGTGATACAGGTGCCCATGTTCCAGCACAGCCTGTCCCGGCTCAGAGAACCAGAAACAGTCAAGGCTACCAAGGCGAGCCATCTTCTGACACATCACATTCAGAGCAGGTCCAGGAACTCCCAGAGACACTCTGCTCACGGATTACTGTGAAAGCATCCACACCAGGGGCTTGAGAGACTAATGGGTCCAGGCTGGGGCAGTCTTCCTTTCTCAGATGTGGTGAGTTCTGAGGGCAGAGAAATGAGGACCCAGATGCTTGGAGAGAGAGGTTTGGGTATAGAACAGTGTGAGGAGCGTTTGGGGACAGGTGGAGGGGGCACAGGAGGCAGGTGGAGGAGAGGTAGGGAGGACAGGTGCAGGCCAGGCAGGAGGGCACTAACATTAGTTAAGACCTGATGAGTAAGAGCCTCCATCTGGCCTTTATGTACAGATCTCACAGCACCTGAGAAGGTGGGTCTATTAGGGAGTCAAATCCCTCATGGATCACAAAATGGTAGCAAGTGAGTGTAGGGCTGTCAGCAAGCCCCCACCCCCTCCCGCCCAGTGGAGAGGAGAGCTGGGAACTGGAGGAACCATAAGGAACCACACCCAGCCAAGCAGGGAGCTGCGTCATCTCAGGGCGTATTTCCCATGGGGATCTGTTCTGGGAAGAGCAGTCCCCACTGCGCTCCTCACTCTCTCCAACACCCTCCTGACTCTCCACACGCAGGATAAAGGTCAAACTCCCCAGCCTGCCTGGATAGGTCCAAAGGCCCCAACACCATGACCTTCTACCACCGGCTCTGACACGCCCAGCCTGTCCCCCTGGACCCCAGCCTAGGGAGGTCACATGCAAGGCCTGCCCTTTACCCTCTGCCTAGAGCTGCTCCCACAGCTGGCCCTGGCCCTGCCCTCCAGCTTAGAGGGAAACCTCAGCCTGTCTTCAAGTGCACCCGAAGGCTGACATCTTTCTCAGGATGCAAGCATCAGACGACCCTACACATCAACCACCGCAGAGCCCTCACTGTCCCCAAATAAGTCATCAGCTCTCACGCCTCCACCTGGCTCCTGCTACTCCACCACCTGTACCATCCTCCCTCAGCCCTCAAGACCTGGCAAACACCGCGCAGGCCACTGCTTCTGAAAAGCCTGCCCAGGCCCACGGAGTCCCGCTCCCTTCACAGTGTCCCCATGACCCTTCACAGCCCTCTCGCTTTGCCCTAATTCAGAATATCTGGAGAGCCCAAGCCCTGCCCTCAAACTGCTCAGACCTCAAACCGGTAAACAGGAAGAAGTACAAGGGTTGGCCAACAGATGGGAGTGGGTATCCTAAAGAGTCTGGGGAAGGTACAGTTAAGCTGAGACGGGAAGGATGACCAGGGTGGTCCAAGGAAACAAAAAAATAAACACAAAAACAAACAAAAAGAACAAAAGAGCAGAGTGGCTTCAATTAACTAGAGCTGGAAGGGAGAGACACTTCCTGGGCAGCCAGATCACAGAGGCCTCCCAAATGCACGGGGAGCCCCTGGAAGTCCCTGATCGGGACGTGACAAGACCTGACACCCTTTGAAAGAGATCGTTACTGTTGTGTTAAGAACGGACCCGGACTGTGCGGGACACGAGCGGCCATGGGAGGCCGTCAGCCACCCGCCCTGAGCTACGAGAGAGGGGGCGGTGGGGTAGAGTGAGCAAGTCAAGATTAATGACCGCGTTTGTGGGGCTGTTAGGGAAACCGGTCCCCGAGCTGCTGGACCCAGAGGAGAGGGAGGATTTGGAAATAAAAGACGCGCCCCTGACGATGTACATCGGCCACTTCGTGGTCAGTCCCTTACTAGCGCCTGAGACCCTCCACGGCAAGTGACCAAGTAACATGCGGCGGTTCATCACCCCACGCACCATCTCGCCGGTCCGCGCTCACGCTTTGCTCCTTCGGTAGAGGAGCAACCGAAGCCCACGGCGAGGAACTCCCTGGCCCAAGGTCACGTTGTAAAAGTGAGACGGAAATTCGACCCCCTCCGGGTTCCCTGGCCGCTCCCCCGACACGGCCTGGGTGTCGCGCTGGACAGCTTACCGCAACCACCGGGGCGGGCGCTGGCACCGCTCGTAAAAGGGGAAACTGAGGGTCGGAGAGGGCCAGCCACCTGCCCGAGGCCACGGAGGCAGACAGGAGCGTCCCTGGCGGCGATCGGGGACCCCGAGATGGACCAGCAGGGCCGGAGGGCGGAGGAGGGTCCCCCAAACTTCAGACCCACGTGGAACTGAGCGACGATGCAAAGAGCTTTCGAG